AAAAATCATATTTCTGGATCATCAAGTTTGCCTAAAACATTTGTGGACCTATCTTGCTACAAAATAAATAAATAATAAAAATAAAATAAAAATACAAGTTAAAGACTTGTCTACTTATTAAGTAGCCTTATAGGCCTACTTGTCTTGTTGTTGTGGGCTTTATATATGGGTGAGGGCTAATTGTTGTGAACACAAGAGGTCCTAGTGGAAATATTACAGATGGGTAATGCCTTACCTCCGAGCCACAATGGCAGAGTTTTTGTCCCAAGTACAGGAATTATCAAATTCAGCCCTCTAATTTAATAAATACAAGTTATTTTGCCTCAGACCACCTAACAAACGAATCTGTTCACATTTTTTAAGAGCCCTGACTTTTAACATTTGTTTTGCTAGCTATTTGAGCAAATTAAAACACAATACTTACATTTATAAGTGTATTCGTTGGCAGCCACAGAACCATCACCGCTATTTTGTTTGAATAAAAGTCCCGTCGTCACCTGCACGCTATGAATTCTGGGATAGGGTAGGCTGCGAAGGATCCATCTCATGTATCCTTCATTTGCCAGAGAAACGGAGGACCCATTTGAAGTCGCGTTCGAATTGCGGCAGCCTTCGTCGCGCCGCAGTGACGCAATCGGCCTTCAAATGCAGCCTTTGGAGGATGCATCATGAATTGGGACGGTCTTCGTCGCGCCGCCGTGACGCAATCGGCCTTCAAATGCAGCCTTCTTATAGGGGCATTCACTATAAACATCATTTATTTTCAATCTTAGGCATACAGGACTTTCAGGCGAAAGTGAATCTAGCCTGTGTGAAATGCGCTAGACTGTCCTTGTCCCTCTCATTCTGCACCAGTACAAATATGAGCACGCGTTGCGCGTGTTTTGCTTGCTTGAGTGTTTCTGCATTATATGAGTGGCTTTGGAATATAAATCGCAGCGTTAACCAACTAACATTATACATACTCTTTTGGTTTCTGTACCCAATATTTTAAAAATTACAAATGCAATAAAAATATTGGTATCGGTACTCTGTACCGGCAAGTACCAAAAATAAAAGTATCGGTATCGGGCGAGTACTGGAAAAAGTGGTATCGGTGCATCCCTACTTTTTTATTTTGAATCCAATGTTTTTGACACTTATCTAACCCCACAGAGTTTGGCTTGACTGATATTATTCCTAAAATACCTTTTGATAACCCGATAAAATCTTAAATGCCAGTATTTGCCCATTAGGTAAGCAAAACAGAAACTTCACAGAAACATATCAAGGAAAAGAACATAAAACTCCATATATTTACAAAGATCGACATTAAATGTTGCACCATTGAAATGAGTGTAAAGATACAAGCATTGATCCAAAAGAAGGCCTCTCCGATTCCAAACAGCAGGTGGGAGAGTGGATTATCGGATGATAATTACTTTTTGGAGAATTAAAGCTCATGATAGGAACCCAAAACTTCAAACGTAACTTCAAAAATAGGTCAAAATCATTGTTTAGTGTACACTGCGAGTGGAGTTGAATGTGTGCTGCTACTGTAGGACACTCTCTGCCACCCGGATTCACACTAATCTCTTCTGAGCAGCAAGGAGGCCATTACAGGTGGACTCTCGCTGCGAGTCAGGCCCCCGCACAATAGAATTTATCGCCAATGAACTCCAGAGCTCTCCCTCAAGGTGATTTTCTCTCAGTGAGGAGCCCTACTTCCTCTGACACTCGCTGGGTGATGTAGTGCTAACGGCAGTGGTCCAGGAAGGGTGCCGAGTCTGACAGGGGCGTTAAGGTAAATGCCTGTAGATCTATTTCTCAACCTCAACCCAAAAAGCTTGAACTTTAGCTGCTGTGAACAATCAATCACTCTCGGGAGTCCCGTACCACATTAAAAATTGAACACTGGGACCTTGAAAATCTATACAGACTTAAATGCCACAGCTACGTTTTTTCGGACTACATCTAAGCTTGACACATTCAAAAGATCCAATGAAATGGCTCACAAATGTTATTCATATTCTGAATTAAATTCAAAGTTGGACTGGTATACAATATATTGAAGAGCTTGTCCTTTTTTATGGTCAATAGAGACCTGCAGTATTTTCTGAAAAGAAAAGAAAATAGGAAAAAAAGGGGGGGGGGGGGGCAAAACAAAAAACACAAAGCACAAAACACAAAACAAAGCAATGCAAAAAACACAAAATGCCAAACAAAACATTTAAATACATGTCCTTTCTTGGAAACCGACAATGTTTTCTGAAAAAAAAAATAAAAAGAGTACAAAAAAAGCAAAACAGAGCAAAATAAAACAAAAGGCACAAAATAAAACAAAAATGCAAAAAAAAAAAACTGACAGGCTTGTCCTTTTTAAAATGGCCAATAGAGACTGCAATGTTTTCTATCAAATAAAATCAAACTAATCAAAATGGGTGGAGTAATTAGAAGGAATATGAACATGCATGCCAGTCAAATAAAGAGCAACACCAAAGAAGAGCGCAAACATTTATGGAACCAATATTTGTTGTTGGACATCAAATTTTGATTTAGATCGCATACCTAATTGCAAACCTTTAACATCAGCTTCAGCATTTTCCTCAGCTGTCTAAACAGACCAATCAAAAAGCTGCATAGTAAGCCCCGCCCCCTGCCCAGCAGGAATCACCAGTCCAGAGAACACGGCATATGTCCGGACAGGTCTATTATTCACTCACAGCAGGT